GCCCGGGGCCGGCCGCGGGCGCCGGGATCACGCTGAGCCCCAGAGGGCGCCCCCCGGACCGCACCGCTGCCCGTCGCCCGGCGGGGCGGGGGCTGCTTCGAGAGTGGGGCGGAGGAGGGGGCCAAGTTTGAAATGGAAAAGCCAGAGTCGAGAGAGAGTCTGGGAGGGTTCGAGAAACTGAGGCTCCCAGAAAGCCCAGAGGAGCGAGAGCCCGAGACAGGGAAAGAAGGGACGACAGGCTTCGAGTGGTAGCTGCAGAGGTACCCGAAAACGGGGACAGAAACTTGGCCGTAGACTCCCCAAGAGACAGACCGAGGCATAGGGACGGACCCAGGTTTTGTGGAGCATTTTAAGAAAAAGCATACAGTGACGCCAGTGAACACGTCCTAGGATGCTTCCCAGGGCCTTCGAGGGTCCTGGGCAAGTGAGGGGCCCTGAAGCCTAAGCTTCCTTAGCCTCGTGGTGAATCAGGCTCTGTGAGGCCTTTGGAGACATTCAGAGACTGGAGACAGACTCTCGGGCATAGAGATGCTGTTGAGTGGTAGAGAAGGGGGGTGGGGTGGGGACCAAGACATTCCGCCCCATAGAGACACTGAGAGGCAGACTTGGGTGTTCAGAGGTAGAAATCCAGAGGTGAGCTGTTGGGAGATAGCCAGTCAGAGGTACAGAGACACCCACAGCGTAGAGACATCTGCTGAAGTGTGCAGGATACAGAGACGTGCTGAGGACCAGAGCTAGACTCAAAAGACGGAGGTTAATGGAGGCGCACTGACAGCTTCCAAGACAGACCCTGAGATGAGGGCCGTGGAGGCAAGGATGTGGGGAAACGGAAACTCTGGGCCCACTGAGTCCCCATGAGGAGAGGACCTGAGATAGTAAGATTGCAGTCAAGGAGGAGCCCCACGTGTGTACCAAGACAACCCCAACTTATTTTTAAACTCAAATCTTGGACGTGCTGCTTCAGCCCTGGGGGACCTGGGGTGAATGAACTGTTCCTCTCCTGTCCCCAGAGCAGCTGCTGGATCCTGCTTCCCACCCCCCTTCCCCTAAACTGCTCCAAATCCCAGGCCCCATGGCGGGAGGGGAGGGGAGAGTGGAGAGTTTGGGGTTGGTGCCTGGTGGCAGGGGATGGGGGGGAGGATTTGGATTTCTCCCCTGAAGTCTCCTGTCGACTCCTGGGACCTGGGGGAGGGGTCTGTTCTGATCCTGACTCACAGCTGTGGGGCCTGGCCAGGGTCCTCCTGGACAGTGGGGAGTGGAGGGGGGGCAAAAGGGTTGAGCAGTTGGCATGGGTAATTGGAAAGGCTTCTGGGTGTCTTCCAATCGCAGGGCTGGCAGCTGGGGAGAAGAGCCAGGCTCCTGTGCTAGTGATGTCACCCAACATCTCCTTTCCCCCTGCTCTTAAATGGTGACCACCCCCTCCACCACCACTGCAGCATTTCTAGGGAAAGAGAGACAGGAAAGGGCTCCAGGCTGGGAAGCAGGGGACCTGGGCTCTCTGATATCTGCGTGACCTTGGGCATGCCCCTGCCCTGTCCCTAGCTTCTGTGCTCAGCTGTACAATGGAGATAATATACTGTCCTGCCTGCCTTTTGTGAGATCTGATGAGACGGTGGGTGGGAATGCACTTTCTGAGAGGCAAAGCAGCATGCAGGTGTGTACACCTGTGTACCTGTGTGAGGGGCCTCACAGTTATGCTCACTGAAGTCAGGCTGGCCCATCTGGTCTCAGCGAGCCCCGTGGCCTGGGCCTCTTCAGTACCCCCAGCAGAACTAGGGGGTTCCCTCTTTGTTCTCTCCCTGGGCCTACACTGAGAATGTCCATGTCAAATCCCAGGGCAGCTCCCTGACCCAGGCCTGGCTGAGAAACTGTTGTCTGACCCCAATATGAATGAGGGGCTGATAGTAAAAACACTAATAGCTACTATTTACTGACAACTTACTATCTGCCAAGCGCTTTCCAAGTATTATCTCATTTAAGCCTGACAACTACCCTAGGAGGTAGTATTAGATGGGAAAATAGGCTCAGAGAGCTTAAGTGATTTGCCCAAGATCGCCCAGCTTTATATTTACCAGCTTGAGCGTCTACACACCACATGCCCACAGCCATTTATCCCACTATTCTGAGCTCTAGGAGGTGCCAAATGTGTGTGTCTAAGTCAGGTGTAGGAGTGTGTGTGTGTGTGTGTGTGTGTGTGTGTGTTGGTGGGGGCAGGGGCTGGGAGCCATCTGGCAGACTGAGCAGTCTCCCCTCACCCCACCACCAGCCATGAAGGAATACAAGACTGGCTCCCTCCAGTCCCCCAGCCTTGCCAGGGATAGGGGGAGGGGCGGGGGATGGGCAGAGACAGGTGGGCCTTGATAGTGCCCTTCACTCTGTCCTCACTAGAGCCCAGCTGGACAGACTAGGGGGACTAGGGGATTCTGGGAAGGAAACAAGCCACGCCCATACCCTATTTGGGGTGCCCCTGTCCCAGAGTGGTGACTGCCTCCCAGGGGGCGGACCCAGGGCTAGCCTGGGCCTGGGAAGGTGGCGGCTGCTTTGAGCCAAGCCAGGAAGGAAGGAAAAGGCCCAGGGCACTCCTGGATGGACACATGGCCACACTCCACCTGTGCGGCCCCCTGCTGCCCAGTGGCTGACAGCCCAGGCAATCCTTAGATGTTGGGCCAGAGGAAACCCCGGGCCTGAGTGGCAGGGAGCGGACTGAGAAGGAGGGGTACCCTCCACCTTACAGCATAGCCGCCACCCCAGAAGTCCCCGCACTGAAGACCCCAGCTGCTGGGGCCTCACGCCCTGGCCTGGGGTATGAACTGAGTGTCCTCCCGTTGTACGGAAGGACAGCTGCGAGCTTGAGAGCTGTCCCTTCAGAAGAGCCAGGCCGTCCGGGCTTGGGGCGTCTGCTGGCGCCTGGAGTCTGAACTCCAAGCCAGAGCAACGCTTGTTGGCGAGAATTTCCCACTGGGGGTGGCTGAAACACGGAGGACTTTTCCTTCAACTTGAGCCAGGGCAGGCTCTGGGGACTGCCATTATTGGGGTCTGACGCAAGGGGAGTGGGTTGGTGGGCTCCTTTGTGCTCCCCAGGCTCATCTGCAGCTGGGAGAACATCCCTTTCCTTTAGGTCCTGGTGGTTCCTTTCCACCCACCCTGGGATCCCGTCCTTAGAGAGCAGGCTTCATGATGGAGGAGGCTGGGGGTGGGGAGCTCTGAATTTGGGGCTAGAGACTAGAATCAGGGGCAGCAGAAGGGACTTGGAACCCCACTTCCCTTCCCCCCCACTCCCCACGCTCCTGTTCCAGAGGCAGCTGTGTGGATGACCTCATCCCGCAAACATGCTTTGTTCCTGAGAAAATGGAAAGTGTCTGAGGTTTGGTGGGGGGTGGGTGTCTGCAGCAGCAGCTCTCAGGGCTCCCCCTTGCCTGACTCCCCACCCAAGAGGGGGCCTGCGTGGGGAGAAAATGTCTTCAGTGGCTCCCACTCACTCACCCCTCACTCCCCCTACCCCAAACCCTTAGAAATCTGGAAAAGCTGGGGAGAAGCTTCTCTCCCAGAGGCAGGGGGAGGGAAATAATGACCCAGGGGATGGCAAGATCCTGGGGCTTTGCCAGTCGCTGCCAGGAGTGATGCCAGGAGTGATGCTCAGCAGGAGATGGCAGAGGGGAGCACACGGCATGGTCTCCAGTTCCCCTCTCCCTCCCCAAGCATCTCATTTCCCTTTTTTTCCCCTGTTGCTGGCAAAACCTGACATCTGGCCATCTGTGCTACCACAGCTGCTGCAGATGTTGCAACCCAAGGCTGCCCAGGCTGGTGTGACCAGAGACCCAGTGGGGGGTAGAGGGGGATGAGGGCAGAGGGTCCAGCTGGGGAAGCTTCGCTGTGTCCAGCTTGCAGGATTTCCTTCCTGCTTAAACCTAGGCAGAGCCTCTGAAGTCCTTGTTGCTGGGCCGATTGTCCTGGGAGGGGAGGTCCGATTCTCCCATCAGGCCTCTTCCATCTCTACCGTTCATGGGCCCAGCATCCCTCTAACATTCCACTGTTTCCTGGATCAGGAAGGGGGCAGGAACAGCCCATTCTCATCCCTAAGCTCCCCACTCCAGAGCTCTGGGTGTATCTCAGGGGTCCTTTCCCGGGAGTCGGGAGAGGGTGGGAGTGCTATTCATATGAGACGGGGGGTGGCTCCCTGCCCCTGCTCTTGCCCCCTTGGGGACAGTAAGGGACAGTGGAGACTAAACTCAGACTGGGGCAGGAAATGAGTCACTGACCCAGGAAAAGCCCCCTCCCCCCCAGATCTGCCTGAGCCCAGATAAGAAAACAACTTCTGCTTCCTGATTTTTTCCTGACCCCCTTCCACCCCCACTGTTAAATACAGAAATAAACATGCAGGACTCCTGGGTTTCCAGAAGCACCCCTTCCCCATCGCCACCCGCTCTGACCTGGCATTTCCTGTGCCTGGTCTGTTGCTTTTTTTAATGCAAAGGGCTATGCCACAGCCCCTCTGGGTGACAACCACCCCACCTTGTGCCCCTAACAGGGCTCACTGACAGCCACCATGAGCGAGACCTTCGACTGTGCAAAATGCAGCGAGTCGCTGTATGGCCGCAAATACATCCAGACAGATGACGGCCCCTACTGTGTGCCCTGCTATGACAACACCTTCGCCAACACCTGCGCTGAGTGCCAGCAGCTTATAGGGCATGACTCGAGGGTAAGCACCGGACCAGACAAGGCAGGGAGGGGTGGAGGCTAGCGGGAGGGGCAAAGATGCCAGTGCCCCTGCTGTCCTCCCCGCAGGAGCTGTTCTACGAAGACCGCCACTTCCACGAGGGCTGCTTCCGCTGCTGCCGCTGCCAGCGCTCCCTAGCCGATGAGCCCTTCACCTGCCAGGACAGCGAGCTGCTCTGCAATGACTGTTACTGCAGTGCCTTCTCCTCGCAGTGCTCCGCCTGTGGGGAGACCGTCATGCCTGGTACGTGCCCAGGCTCATTGTGTGGGGGACTGGCATGCCTGGCATCTGTGTAGGGTTCTTGCATGTGCAAGGGACCGGCACATCTGTCTGATACACACACGGAGGCTTGGTATAGTAAAGACCCACACATGCAGCATGTGCCTGGAAATTTAGTGTATGCAGGATCTCTTGTGCCTGAATGCTCTTGGGAGCTTAGCATGCACAGGCAGTGGCATACCCAGGTATACACATGAGAGCTTAGCATGTGCAGGAACTGACAAGCTTGGTACATTCCTGAGGGTTTAGTGTGTGCTGGACCAGTAGGCCTGGTTTACACCATGAGTTTACCATGTACAGGCAGACTGACATGCTTGATACACACCTGGGGGCTCAGCGTGTATGAAGACCTGCATGTTTGGTACATGTAGGAGCTAAGAGTCTGCGGAGACTGTCATGCTTGTACATTGGAGGTTGGTGTGTGCAGATAGATAAACAGAGGGCTTAACATGTGTGGAAACCTGCATGCCTAATAGATATGTGAGGATTTAGACCATGTGAATGGCATAATTAGGGTATGTGAAGGCTTAGCAGCTACTGAATCCATCATGTCCAGGGCATTAGGACTTTGTGTGGGCAGAGACTTGCTTGCCCAGTATATGTGGGGTCTTTGTATGTGTGCTAAAACCATTATGTCTGGTGTATAAAGGCTTTGCAAATACTGAGACATCATGCCTGTGACACAGAGGCCTGGTGTGTGCTGAGATAGTCATCTCTTGTGCATATGGGGACTTCACATATGCTAAACCCTCATGTTTAGTTTATGGGGGCCTAGCACTTGCTCAGCCAGCATGTCCAGGGTTTGGGGGGGTTTAGCATGTGCAGTATGTGTGCTGGGGGTCCTGCTGCATGTGCATGGACACCACCCTGCTCAGGCTATGGGAGCAGCGGGGACTCTCCTGGGAGGGTAGCAGAGGGTGGCACTTGGGAGCTTGGGACACAGCCTCTGAGTGGGACCCCTGTTCCCCGCAGGGTCCCGGAAGCTGGAGTATGGAGGCCAGACGTGGCACGAGCACTGCTTCCTGTGCAGCGGCTGTGAGCAGCCGCTGGGGTCCCGTTCCTTTGTGCCCGATAAGGGCGCTCACTACTGCGTGCCCTGCTATGAGAACAAGTTTGCTCCTCGCTGCGCCCGCTGCAGCAAGGTGGGGGCGGGGCCCGCAGGGTGGGGGTGCTGATCGCCACCTCACTCAGAGGTGGAGGCGAGCAAGGCTCTGTTGTGGGGCGGGAATCCCCACTCCCACTACTGACAGATGCTGCCCCCACAGACGCTGACACAGGGTGGTGTGACATACCGTGACCAGCCCTGGCATCGAGAATGCCTGGTCTGCACTGGGTGCCAGACACCCCTGGCAGGGCAGCAGTTCACCTCCCGGGATGATGATCCCTACTGCGTGGCCTGTTTTGGAGAACTCTTTGCACCCAAGTGCAGCAGCTGCAAGCGCCCCATCACAGGTGGGACAAGGGTCCAAGGACTGAGTGGGTGGGGGGCAAGCAAGGAAGTGGCATCTGGTATTGGGTGAGGCTGAGGGGCAGGACTGCCCTCTAGATCTGCAGAGCTAACCTCCAGCCTCCCTCCAGGACTCGGTGGAGGCAAGTATGTGTCCTTTGAAGACCGCCACTGGCACCACAGCTGCTTCTCCTGCGCCCGCTGCTCCACCTCTCTGGTGGGCCAGGGCTTCGTGCCCGACGGAGACCAAGTGCTATGCCAGGGCTGCAGCCAGGCGGGGCCCTGAGTCTGGGCCCCAGGCCCTCCCAAACCAGGGCTCCAGGACTAAGGCTCCTTTTCCAAACCATCTCTGGGATCCAGCCCCTCCCCAAATTGGGGCTCCCCCTGGGCTCCAGGATTCAGCCTCCCTACTCCAACATCCCCCAAACTGGTACTCCCTGACCCAGGGCCCCCAAACCTGGGCTCCTCTGGAGCCTCTGTGATTCAAATCCCCTCCCCAAGCCTGGACTCCAGGACTCAGCCCTCTCCTCTACAGTCTGGGTTCCCAGACCAAACCTCCTCCCCAAATCAGGGCTCTAGACCCCCAGCCCTCCAAACCTGGACTCTGGGACCCAGGCCCCTTTCAATCTAGACTTCTCTCCCAAGACTGTAGGTCTCCTATGGGTGCCTGAGCAGTCCTGCAAGGTGGACTATCCTCAGGCTTGACCCTCCCCACCCCATCCCACCTCTGTCCCCAGGGCTGGGGCTGTCTGGGCAGCAGAATGGGTTCACTGGTTAGGGGGCCCTAGGGTACAGGGTTTTGCCCAGCCCGTGTCCTATGAGTGTTTTCTGATTTCATTTCAGTTTCATCTTGCCCCGAGATGGGCAGAGGGGTGGGATTGGCTCACCCCCTTCCAGATTCTGCAATAAAGCAGTGTGAGGAAGTGAAGGCCTGTATGTGTGTGTTTGCGGATGGAGGGGGAAGGAAGGTTTCTTCGCAGACGGAGGGACTCTGAGGATCGTGGGAAATCTCGCCCGAGAAAGGGGATCCCCACTGCCGTCACTGTCCCTCTCACGCTAAGCCTACCTTCCCCCTGCTGGCGGAGGGCGTTTTCCTCCATATGGGGAAGGGAGGAGTTTGAGAGAGGCTCTGGACCGGAGCGGGGGTGGCAGTGGGTTCCCAGGTCTGGTACAAATCGCCCCCCTCCCCTAACAGCCCTTCCCAAATCCCGCAGAGCACCGGGTGCGGATCCCCAGCCTGGACCCAGACCCTCGGCCCCCTTCCCCCTCTTCCCGAGGATTAGCGGAGGCGGCCCGGGATCCGCTCGAGGCCGCACGTTTTTTGCCAAAAAAGGCAAGGATGCAGCTGCACGCGCCGCGGGAACATCTGGATCCGATTCCCGGCATGAATGGGTCATGGCCCCGCCCCCCCGTGATTCAAGGGCGGAGGCGGGAATGAGCGAGGGGGGCTGCCCCCCAAAGTGGGGAGATGGGGCGGAGCGCTGCTCCCCTCACCCGGCGTCCCATGCCCCCTGCCCCTGCCCCCTCCGCGGCCTGCGGTCTGGGCTCCGCGGCGGAACCGTCGGAGCCCGCTCGTGCGCACACTCGGTACGCGCGGGCTCCTGCGCTCGCCGTCCCGCCCGCAGCCTCCGGGGGTGGGGCCCGCGCCTCGAGGTGGGCGGACCCTCGCGCCCTGGGCAGGAGGGGCCCTCGGACCCGTGGCAACCGCGTGATTGTCTGTATCTCATTTTCAATACTCCCAGAAATCCAACGGGGCGGGCATTTTTCCATTTCACGGAGGTGGAGACTCGTCAGTTCCCCAACGTCACATAGGTAGTCACTGGTAGCTCTGGGATTCTAATCCGCTTCACACTGCTTTCCCTGTCTAATTCCAATTCTAAACTTTCTGAGGCCCTGGTTGACATTTCCAACAAACCTTTACGAATACCCACCGTGTGTGTTTATGATTAATAATTAGACATTCCACATTTTTGTCTCTTTCTCCCATCAGCCACTTGGAGGATTGGGCTCGCGCCTGCCTTGCTCACCCCTCCATCCTCAGGTCCCGGCACTTACTACATGTTCAATAAATACTTGAGGAGGAGGAGGAGTCCAAGCATAGAAAACAGCTGGTGCAAAGGCCTGGGGGCCTGAAAAACCATATGGTGCTTTGGGGAAGCAGCAAGTAATTTCACTTGGAGGAAGTGCCAAGAGACTAAAATGGCAGGCAGAGCCCGGGTCAGGAAAAGACGAATGCCAAGTTAAACAGACCTCACCCTGCGGGTGAAGCAGCCAGTGGAAATGTTTAAGCAGGGGTGAGATGATCACTCTGGCTGCAGCATGAATAATGGATTGGAGGGTAAGATGAGCAGGCTGGTTCCGAGGCTAGTGCAGTGGTCAAAGTGAGAGATGATGAGGCAGGTGGCAGCAGGAGCAGAAAAGACAGGACTTCGTGACTGGTTTGATGGAGTGGGGAAGGAAGGCATCAAGTAAATGGTGTTGCTTAGGTGGTCCATCCACCTAAGAAGAAGAAATTTGCAGGTACAAAACCTTGGCATTGATTTCAAGATAAACGTTTTTTAGATTTCACATCTCAGAAACCTAGAAGCATTGTATCATCATATAATTGTATAATCATTATATAACCGACACAATTTGACAATTTTTTTTTCTTTCTTAGTGGAACATGGTGGGGTTAACATTTGGCATCTGGTATTCGATGAAATACAGTAGATCCCAAACCTTACCAAAAAAAAAAGTTTCATCTCTTCATCTCTCTGATCCTGAATGGAGATCTCTTACTTTTTTTCCTCGTGGTGCAGGAAAAGCCTGTGGTGAGGAGTTGTGCCTGGAGTCCTCTCCCTAAGGTTGTTCAAATTTTTAGACATAAAATACCCTTACAACACCCCATGAGCAAGCAAGACAAGAGTCATTATCCCTATGTTATTTTTAAAATTAAAAAATAATGTATGCTTATTGTAGAAAAATTGGAGAATTCTAAAAAGTAAAGGGAACAAAAGATAAATCACTAACAACTCCTTGATATATTATAGCCTCCTAGTTCTTTTTTGTTAAGGTTCATGTGCATATATGTATTTTCATTTTTAGTTTTAAGTTTATTTTGCAATTGAAAAAGTAATACATGTACATGTTAAGAAAAAAACTTCATGCTCTCCTTTGGGTATATACAAAGAGAAATTTCCCTCCTGTACCAGATCTTCCAGGCTATCTCCTCATAAACAACCCCTGTTTACTGTTAGTTGGCTATCCTTACAGAAATAATCTGTTTGTGCATCTATTTTTATACACACTGTTGTGCGTCTAGCTTTTTTCACTTTGTGTGGCCATCTTTCCCTATGAGTTCATACAGATTTTTTTAACAGCTTTATTGAGGTATAAGTTACATACCATAAAATTCACCCATTTACAGTGTGCAATTCAATTAATTTTAGCAAATTTAATACAGTTGTGCAACTATTGTCACAATCCAATTTTAGAACATTTCTGTCACCCACAAAAAGATTTCTTGTGCGCATTTGCAGTCACTTCCGTTCTCACCTGCAGCCACAGGCCACCACTCATCTACTTTCTGTCTCTATTGATTTGCCTTTCTGCACATTTCATCTGGACCTACAGAATATGGTCTTTTGTGTATGGCTTCTTCCACTTAGCATGACTTTTTCATGGTTCATCCACATTGTAGCATTCCTTTATTGCTGAATAATATTCCATTGTATGGATAGACCACATTTTGCTTATCCATCCACCAGTGAATGGATTTGGGGGTTGCGTTCTGTTTTTGTTGATGATGAATAACGGCGCTATGAACATCTGAACATACGGACACACGTTTTCATTTTGCCATCTAGAAGTGGACATATAGACTTGCTTCATTCTTTTTTTTTTTACGGCTGTATAGCATTTCACTACTTTGATGTACCATATTTTATTTAATCAGTCCCCTGCTGTTAGACAACTAGGTTGTTTCTGCATGTGAATTACTTTAAAAAAAAAAAGAAACAACAAAACCCCCTATCATCCCCATTTTACTGACAACGACACTGAGATCCGGAGAAGGGAAAAACGCTGTCAGAGTTCACACACAGTAAGGGTCTCAAGTTCCGGTCCCCCAACTCCCATCCATACTTTTCCACTACTCTTCAGTCCACAGAGCCCCTGCTTGCTTGGCCAGGAAACCCCGGGAAGCCGGCACTTCGCCTCAGGTTCCGGGATTTCTGTATGCCCCCTAGAGGCACCTGCAAACCGCTCGGCGTCGCGCCACCACACCTCCGGCCAGCAAGGGGCACTGCTGCCATCTCGATAGCCCAGACTGGCTCTCCTTTCGGTGCTCACTTTTCCTCGAGTCCCCGAGGCACTTCCGGTAGCCGCGGAACTTCAGTGCGGCCGGACGCACAGCGTGGGGACGCGGGCGCGCGAGGCGGCAGGAGTTGCTTCCGGCCGTGTCGGTGGTCTGAATAGAGGTCCGGGGGCCCAGGGAAGATGGAGACGATTCTCGAGCAGCAACGGCGATATCACGAAGAGAAGGAACGGCTCATGGACGTCATGGCGAAAGAGATGCTCACGAAGAAGTCCACGGTGAGTGGCGCCTGGGCGGGGGCTCCCTCTGAGGCCGGGCCCATCCCGGGTTGACCCTCTGACCCTCCCCGCGCCCCTCCCCGGCCCCTCCCCGAGCCCCCGCCGTGGTCCCCTCCTCCCGGGACCCAGCCCTCGGGCGGCCCTCCCTCCCCCAGCCCTCCGAGCAACGGCGCCGTGTCCCCGTTTGCCTCTGCAGCTCCGGGACCAGATCAATTCGGACCACCGCACCCGGGCCATGCAGGACGTGAGTACCCCGCCGACCGCGTCGGGCTGGGCGGGATGCGCGGGAAAGGCGGGGAGGCGGGTGCGGCCGCTCCGCGGGAGCCCTGGCCAGACGTAACCCAACTGGCCAGTCGCGGGTTGTCGGCCTGGAGATGTCCACGCGGCGGCCAGTCCCGAGGGTGCCTAACTGCTCTTCCTCGCGTCTCTGAACGGGCGACTCGTACTCTTCTCCGTTACTCGGAGGGACGCCCCTTCTTAAAGTATCCTGTGTCCCTTGGATGTGTAGAGAATAGTTATTAGAAGTCAGTGACTGGGGCCCAGAAAGTACTACCTCTTCTGCCCGGAAGAGAATGCTGTCCGTTAGTGTTTTCCTCCCAGAACACTGATTTGAAGTATTTTTGCCTACCAAACTGCTTTTACCTGGTAATAGTTCAATTTCTTACTTTTAGGAAACTGATAAATCAGAATGTTGGTACTTATTAAAGTTAAGTGAGAGGTAAATGGAGGTTTATATACTATGTTGTCTGCTCTTGTATATGTTTGAGATGTCTTTAGAAAGAAATAAAAGACCTCATCAGAGTTTCTGATTTGCAGGAGATAGTTAGTCTTACGAGCCCCTAGTTCCTTATCTAAATTCCCAAATCCAAAATACTCTGAAAACAAAGGGGGTTGTGAGGGAGTAATTACTTGGTGGCAGAATCTCACTTGATCTCATTTGGCAGCAAAACCTGACCTGAACAGATGAGAGGCTTTTGTGGTCTTTATCCCACTTAGTAAATATTAGGTGAGTTTCACTGCAGAACTATTAATATGTGTTCCAGATTCCACTAGGGATATTATATAATATATAGTACCTTTCTGAATTTAAAAATTCCAAATTCTGAAACAAATCTGGTCCCAAAAGTTTTGGAGAAGGGACTATGTACCTGTACCATCCTGAGTTTGAATCCAAAGGAAGTTTATTTAGCCTGTACGTTCCTCAATCAAACTTTTTGAAGTAGTGAAAATCATCTTCGACCACCCTTTTATCTTTGAGGGTCTTAGGTGGGAATTGCTATTTAGCAAAGGGTGACTCTCTTATATGGCTCTCTTTGATGACTCTTCTAGGGAAAGTTAATCATCAGTAACATGTAAATATAGGAACTCGATGCCACCCCTTAAATCATATCACTTAGGTAATCTTCAAATTGGCCTGTTTTAAAAACTAATCAGGAACCAGTGCTGTCTGTTAAAGGTACCAGAAAGCACAGGAACTCTTTTTTTTTTTTTTTTGAATATTTATTCTGGTTTTTTTCCCAAGAGTTTGCTTTTATTTATTTATTTATTTTTTTGTGAGGAAGATCAGCCCTGAGCTAACATCCATGCCAATCCTCCTGTCTTTTTTGCTGAGGAAGACTGGCCCTGGGCTAACATCTTCCTCTACTTTATATGGGATGCCGCCACAGCATAGCCTGACAAGCAGTGCGTCAGTGCGTGCCCCGTATCCAAACCCGGGCCACCAGCAGTGGAGCGCACGCACTTAACCTCCACGCCATGGGGCCGGCCCTCTGCATGGGAACTTTTAACACCACATTTCCCCAGGTTTCCCTGGCCTCTGACTAGAGAGTCCTTGTTGGTGGCTTAGCTCTGTGGTTGTACGGATTGCTTCATTCTGATGGGTTTCTGTTTGCCTTTCAGAGGTATATGGAAGTCAGTGGGAACCTGAGGGATTTGTATGATGATAAGGATGGGTAAGTGACAGTCACAGCCAATGCAGGAGTTAGTGCTTCTGAGGAGCCATGGTTAAAGGACTGACTTTGTGCTCTATGTTCTTTTGGATTTTTCCTGCAATTGCAGGTTACGAAAGGAGGAGCTCAATGCCATTTCAGGACCCAATGAATTTGCTGAATTCTATAATAGACTCAAGCAAATAAAGGAATTCCACCGGAAGCACCCAAATGAGGTATGGCCTCAGAAAGTGTTTTCTCCAAACCTGCCTGAATAGCATAGTAAAGGAAAATGGAGACGTGCTGCTCAGATGTCCCTTCAGAAATGAACTTGCCATTTAGCTGCAGGGAGCATCATTAGCTGACATCCTGCAGCTCCAGTGCGTTCATGATCCCCCTCCGCTTTAAGCCAAGGCCATTCTCTTCCTGGGCCACCCCCAGCCAGTGACTTGAGCACAGTGGGCGTACTATGGCCTGGCTGGTTCTGCCCAGTGCAAGACTCTTCTAGTGAGTAGTCTATTCCAGAGCTCCCCATTGGATTGGTCAAGATTTTGTCCTGTCTGCATCATGACCTAGGCTCTCCCTGCCCTATTTTCCTCTCTCCTTTTTATCTTTCATGAGTATTACCCTCCAATAAACTGCCTGTGAATGTAACTCTGTCTCGAAATCTGCTACCTAGAGGACCCAGTTAACACAAAGGGCTTAACTCACTTCCAGGGATCATTACACCTTCAAGACTCAGCCCAGAGGCCAACTCTTCCATGAAATATCTTTACTAGTCTACCCCTCCAAATTAAGCTTTCTTTTCTTCATGGTCCTCTTGTATTTTATGAGAGTGAATGTCTGCGCCACTATATTGTAAGATTATAAGGAGCAGGGATTATGTCTCAATTATCTAGAACTGATTAAGCATCTTGCACGGCTGACCAAAGGAATTCTAGGTGCAGGGGGAGAATTAGAGAGAGAGAGTCCACCATTACTCTGAGCTTTCATGACTGTGTAGCTGGGAAGTTCTTTGTTCCCTTCATAGAAACAGGAAAGAGGTAACCTGTTTGCAGTGGAAAATGAATTTTTATATATGTAGATTTTCAGGTGATGTTGTATCTAGGTAGAAGTGTCCCGTGAGCAGTTGAAGTTAGGTGACTGGGGCTCGGGCAAGAAGTAAAGACTTGTGATTTAGATTTGATAATTATCACATAGACTTGGTGGTTGAAGCCGTGAATCATGGTGTTCTGGGAGAGAGAGACACAGTGTAAAGGGAGACTGTCAGAGCTTCTCTGTGTGCCTTGGGGCACACTCACAATAAGGGACTTAACTGGAAAGACTTCCATTACAGAGGTCAAATGACAGCTCCAGGAAATGTCTTACTGAAGCTAAGTAAGAGACTTGCAGAAAGGGAGTCACTGGTATCAGCTGTTGATTGGTAACTGCCAGGATTGCTGCTTCCTTGAAGTAGTGGGAATGGAAATCTGGTCACAGGGGTAAAAGTGGGTAATAGAAATAGCAGTATGGAGTGTGGAGCATGTATTTGAAAGACTGGCAGAAATAAAGGAGAGACACGGGGATCGTAAGGAAGATAGGGAAGACATATGTATTTAAGGGAGCAGATGGAGAGAGGAAGAAACGGAAAATACCAGAAAGGAGAGGCTATTTATTGAAGTTAAGTGGAGGTAGATGAAGATACTCTTAACATGTACATGTGTCGTGTTCTTCCCCTCTCCCCTGCTTGGAGGGTAGAATGTGAGGTCTTTTGCTAACCAAGAGAGAAGACATGAGTACCATTCTGGTGTGTTAACCTTATTCCAGCTCTGGTAGAAAGGTGATGAAGAATAAATGGTTAAATAAATGATTTGAAGGATGCCCAAGATATACTAAGTGAAAAAGAAAAGTTTTATTATGTGAAAAATAATAATAACCTTGTACCCACTTGTATGTTCTTGTACAAATACATTTAAGTACTTAGAACAGTGGTTTCCAAATTTTGCTGCAAATTTGTATCACCTGGGGATCTTTATAAAAGGACTGATACCTGCCCCCTTCTAATTTAATTGGTATCAGGTACATCAGGATTTTTTAACTCTCTCCCAGGTGATTCTACTGTGTAGCACAGTTTGAGAATTGCTGGCATAAGAAAAGGATCTGTTAACGGTGGTTACCTATTTGCAAGAGAATTAATAAAGAGGGACTTTGATTTTTCATTTTGTTTTTTTGTGTTATTTGAGTTTTTGTGAGCATATGTTACTTTAGCAATTTTTAGTCACACAGTGCAGAAAAGGAAAAAAGCAAGGTAATTGGAGAACAGCAGTAGGCTCCTAATGAAAAATCAAGGCCAGGAGCTGGCCCGGTGGTGCAAGTGGTTGGGTGCGCGCACTCTGCTGCGGCGACCCGGGGTTTGCCGGTTCGGATCCCAGGTGCGCACCGACGCACCGCCTGGCAAGCCATGCTGTGGCAGCGTCCCATATGTGGACGGAAGTGGAGGAAGCGTCCCAGAAGTGGAGGAAGATATGCACAGATGTTAGCTCAGGGCCAGTCTTAGCAAAAAGAGGATTGGCAGATGTTAGCTCAGGGCCGATCTTCCTCACAAAAAAAAAAATCAAGAGCTGGGAGTCCAACTTTCTGTACAGCCCATTTCCGTGATCCTGCAACTTTTATGTTGAAAATGCACCTGAGCTTTTCTCTTTTCCATCAGATCTGTGTGCCAATGTCAGTGGAATTTGAGGAGCTACTAAAGGCTCGGGAGAATCCAAGTGAAGAGGCACAAAGTAAGTAGGGTTAACATTTCCATTCAGCGCCAGCAGAAGGACAGCTTGCTCAGATTGGCCCTCTGAGCCCTGGAAAACAGGGCTCCAGAGAAATTTATAGCCAAGTTCTCTCTTTGTTGGTTTCCGGGCTAGATTGACATCCTAAATTGGCCTAGGACAAAATATTTATTCAGTGCTAGCCCAGCTCAAATTCACTGGCCTGGAAAGCTGAGGTCTTTTCACTTTATGAGCATATGGAGAACATTTGGGTGAAGGGCTGCTTCATGAAACAAGGAACTAGCAGTCGATTTGAAAAGCCAAGTCCAAGAAATGGTCTTCAGTGTCGGAATCATTGATATCTCTGATTGCTTCAGATTTGGTGGAGTTTACAGATGAAGAGGGATATGGTCGTTACCTTGATCTCCACGACTGTTACCTCAAATATATTAACCTGAAGGCCTCAGAGGTAAGACCCAGGCGAGGAGAGAGTGGTTCTGATGCTAGGGCTGAGTTGGGACACTGGGCTGAGGCTGCTAGACGTGAAGCAGTTAGAGTGTCTTCCTTGTGTTTTGTAACTTACGTAAATATTAAAGAGGTGATGTGCTTTCTTGGAATGAAACTATTCAAAATGAAAGTCAGGTTTCTACAGTGAGTACAATAAGCATTATTTTATTAATAAATTTTATTTTATTAATACAACAAGCATGTTTTTCTTTTGTGAAACTAAAACTTAAAAAAAATCCTCACAAATACATCTCGACCTCCTGTGTTAGGCAAACATAGTACTAGGTACATGGAAGATACAAAAACATAATCTCTGCCAGCAAAGGTCTATTTAATGTCTTTCTTAAAAGACATTAAAAAATAACTGATCACAAGAGATGAGATTTAATGTGGCAGACACAGAAGGTCACAACCAAGTATATGATTAAGTTCCTCTTGGAGTTGTGAGGAAACGTCCCAGAAGGTCAGTGAGCAAACTTGAAGCTCCATGAGGGCAGGTCCCGTGTCTGTCTTGTTCTCGTCTGTCTCCATGTTCTTAGTCCAAAGATGCTCAGTAAGGGATTGAATGAGTGAACAGTTGGCAACTTCCAGGACTTTATTTTAGGATGTGCTGGGTGTCAGTCTTTAACCAAGTGCCTGGCATGCATAAGTGTTTGACAAATGTTTCTTTTAGTTTACTGTGTATTAACTTGATCTTCATTTTGCAGAGTTAATTATGTGTGATATTCTACTCAGTCCAGTGGAATTAACACCTCAGTTAGTATAGGAATTAAATGATGGAAAAGAAAAAGACAAGAATAAGCTGGGCCTTGTTAACTTTGTTAGGCAACACTCAATTTTGATCTCGTTTATTGGAAGTTACATTGTAACTTTGTGCAAGCACCTAACTGAATCTCTTGTCATTTCTTTTCTCTTTCCAGAAGCTGGATTATATCACATACCTGTCCATCTTTGACCAGTTATTTGACATTCCTAAAGAAAGGAAGAATGCGGAGTACAAGAGGTAGGCATTACTAGCTTCTAGGCCTCTATTGGATTTAATTAGAAGATTATTTAATGTGAAAGTTTGAGGGCAGGCAGAGTTCTGAATTTTGTAGCCTGAAAGTCATCTGTGAATGACTTCCAGGGTTATTGGAGGATAGGGGTTTTGAATGACGTGGTTTTAAAACATTTGTAATACTGTGGCTCTGGAAGAGTGTGTGTCTGTGGGCACATCTGCCAGCTTATACCCCTACTGTTGTTAATTTTGTCTTATTGTAGAACAATGTCTTTCATCCAGGGACCTCTATGTCTTTGGGAGTTTAATGGAAAGAAATTAAACTTTCTCAGATTGTGAGTGAAGTGAGGTACCTGGGTCTGATGTATAGAGGTTCAGTTTTGTTTGTGTTGTTATGCCCCTGGTTAGTGATCTGCACTCCTAACTTCCCTTGCCTTAATTTTCTTTTTACTTGAAATCTTTTATGTGTGAGTTAAGACTTCAGTATCCAAATATGTATCATGAAGATGAAAGAAGCTAGGAAAGGTCAGAATCAAGATGATATGTTAGGAAAAAGTCAATTGTAAGCTCATTTTAAAAAGTAGTATTACTATTTTTAAAAACTAGTATCACTAGAATTATATTTTATACGGCATAACAATATATTGAAAATAGAGGGGCCGGCCTTGTGGTGTAGCGGTTAAGTGCGTGCGCTCTATTGCTGGTGGCCTGGGTTTGGATCCCGGGCGCACACCGACGCACCGCTTGTCAGGCCGTGCTGTGGCGGCGTCCCACATAAAGTAGAGGAAGATGGGCACGGATGTTAGCTCAGGGCCAGTCTTCCTCAGCAAAAAAAATGAGGAGGATTGGCATGGATGTTAGCTCAGGGCTGATCTTCCTCACACACACACACAAAATAGAAACCCTCTTTGCTTTTTCTGTATTACTTGTTCCTCTCTAGATACCTGGAGATGCTGCTCGAGTACCTTCAGGATTACACAGACAGAGTAAAGCCCCTCCAAGATCAGAATGAACTTTTTGGGAAGATTCAGAATGAGTTTGAGAAGAAGTGGGAGAATGGTACCTTTCCTGGGTGGCCGGTGAGCTTCAGTGGGGGTGTGGGTGGAGGACATGCCAGGGAATTGAACTATTTTGCTTTAATCTTGAGCCTTTCTTTTAGGGCATTAGATGCTGATCTCTTGGGATCAGTTGTGGCCATGAGGTGTTCTCTGCCAAGTATGCTAGGTTTTCTCTGTGTACTTTGGAAGGAGATTTGTCAGGGCCCACTTGCCGTTGGTGGAGCCCAGGATTTTCACCAACCATGTCATTACTGCTGTGCAGTTCCTGACCAAAAACTGATAAAATTATGTGCTAGAAATCTCTGCTATGAGATATGTTTTCACTCCTGGGGATAAACTTGAGTTTTCCTGAACTCTCAGGGAAAGAATGGACAATCTGCTTTTTTACTCTGCTCTTAGAATTTGATTCTTATTTATACATGTGTATAAGAAGGGGGCCAGGGGCTGGCCCCGTGGCTTAGAGATTAAGTGCATGCGCTCCGCTACTGGCGGCCTGGGGTTCGGATCCTGGATGCGCACCGACGCACCGCTTCTCCGGCCATGCTGAGGCGGTGTCCCACATACGGCAACTAGAAGGATGTGCAGCTATGACATACACCTATCTACTGGGGCTTTGGGGAGAAAAAGGAGGAGGATTGGCAATAGCTGTTAGCTCAGGGCCGGTCTTCCTCAGCAAAAAGAGGAGGATTAGCACGGATGTTAGCTCAGGGCTGATCTTCCTCACAAAAGTAAATAAATAAATAAATAAATAAAAAGTTGTTAAAAAAAAAAAAAGGAAAGGGGCCAGCTGGCACCTGGTAGTTTAGATGGCTCCCTTGTCTTCGTTGTAAACCTACATCTTAATAAGCATCATGTTGTTCTTCTTGCCAGAAAGAGACAAGCAGTGCCCTGACCCATGCTGGAGCCCATCTTGACCTCTCTGCGTTCTCCTCCTGGGAGGTATGTTCTATTTAGCCATTGCACTTGTCTCGCCTGTACACTCCTCAGAGGGACCACTCGATCTTTGGTTTTTAATGCTCTGGACTTATGATAAGTCACCAATTCCTGGGACCAGGCGTCTACAAAGAATGTGGAAAGATGAAAAGAAAAAAAAATTATCCAACTATTTTGAAAACTGTAAAATAACTCTTACTATGTTAAGCTGTAGTAGAGGTAATGGAACACTACCAGTATGGTTAAGTATAAACTTGACCACAGAGTCAATCCTTTGGAGAGTGTGCTTACTGCTGGGAGATTGGCTGTGGAATGTGTGGTCTTGCCACAGCTTGAGGAACACCCACACATCAGGCCTGCAAAGACCTACGTTTGAGCATTTGTTGTTTCTCAGAATCTATTTATATAAAATGGTAACGTGTCTCTTTTTTATATAGGAGTTGGCCTCCCTGGGTCTGGACAGATTGAAATCTGCGCTCTTAGCTTTAGGCCTGAAGTGCGGCGGGTAAGAGACTGGTTTTTCTATCAGAACTGTCCCGTTGACTGTGTGTTTGTGCGGTCTTCTGAGTGGCTCTGATTCCATTCTTTCTGTCATCCCACAATGCAGAATTAAGCAAGCCTGTATGGTAGAGTAATCCTGAAATCCTTTGCTCCTCCTGTCTCCTTAGGACCCTAGAAGAGCGAGCCCAGAGGCTATTCAGCACCAAAGGAAAGTCCCTGGAGTCACTTGACACCTCCCTGTTTGCCAAAAATCCCAAGTCAAAGGGCACCAAGCGGTGAGTGGTTGAGGTGGCACCTCTGCTTACAGTTTTGAAATTTTATTCCCATGCAGAATGTTTACCATGACAGAGATTTTAAAGCCTGTTTTATCACCATTATTGGTCCATAGAGATCCGTCTGCTCTTTTTCTCTGCTAGTGGCAGAGTGCTGTCATTGTTACTATAAAGCAAGGACAAGCCATACTCGGGTGGTTGAGAGAGAGTGAAGTCTCTAATGTTGAAATTGTGCTCCCTATAGGTACCTTTTGTTACCTCAATACCTTTTGGAGGCTAAATAGGTTCAAAAAATATTTTTCTAAGTTTATTTTTGCTAATGACAGTTGAATTTATTCTTGAGCCCATGCCTGTATAGGGTATTTTTTTATATATGTTTTTTCTAATTCTCATAATAACCCTGAAAAGTAGTTGTTATCCTGATTTTTTGCAGATAAGGACTCAGAAAAGTTATGGACCGTGTTCATTATCTCAGAGTTAATAAGTAGCAGGGTCAGGATTTGGGCCGAAGTCTGCCTCTTCCGGAGCTCATCTCCTACACCACATTTCCTTTGTAGATTATAATGATGGAAATTTTAAATATCTTGCTATGTCTTTCACCTCCTAGAATGAGGTCAAAGAGGAAGCTTCCGTGCATTATAAGAAATAACAGTACTTCCGTCAGCAAGTCCTGAGCTGAGCAGAGCATTTGCTTTCACAGCACGATATTTCTCATGTGCTTGTGATTTTTAACACCCCCATGGAGTAAATATTCCCAGATATTGGAACAGGGCATTGGGTAAAAGACCCCTTGAGTGATACAGCTTGTTTCTTGTTCGCAGAGACACTGAGAGGAACAAAGACATTGCCTTCCTAGAAGCCCAGATCTACGAATACGTAGAGATTCTTGGGGTGAGTAACTGACTCAGCTCAGGGCTATAAATGCTACAAGGTATGGGAGTCAGAGAAATACAAACTTGTAGGATTTTTTTTTAGGATCGAAAGAGGAAGAGTAGGTGTTAAACTAGTTCAACAGAAAATAGGGTTCTCTGAGAGTATTTGGCCCTTCAGTGAGGTCCTGTTCTGTTCTTAATATCTGTTTTCAGGTGATATTCCCCAGGTTGCCCAATCCTGTGAGGCCAGGTAGAGAGAATAGACTCCTCTCATATAGTATTTAGAGTGGTGCAGGGTCTCTGCCTGAACTCCAGATATACCCAGGAGGCAACCTAAGAAGCAGACACTCAAAAGACAAGTAAGGGAAAGGCTAATCACAGCTTTTCAGGTATGACTTATTATGAAAAAATATTACTTAACATGTTCACAAAATTATGAGAACTTACTAGGGCTAGAATGTTAGTGGTACAAAGCTGGCTGTGAGCTGCTCCTGGAGTATTCTTTCAGGAAGGAGCTGAAGGGTGAGTTGGGAGGGAGAAAAGCCCTAGCCAGACTAGGGTGCTTATCTCAGAGAGAAGGTAGGGGGAAGAGTAGGGGGAAAATAGCTCTCTTTCAGGGAAGAGAAGGTGGGAGAAAGGGCAGCACTCCTGCCAAGAAGATGGCCAGTGTCTCTGGGAGTGCTGCAGTAGACCAGCCTTTCTAATAGGGTCTGCTTTGTGCCATTTCCAACTGCTCTCAGAGCCTTTCCCTTTACACATGCTCAGATGGTGTTTTGAGTGGGTGGCTCTGGCTCAGATAGCTTGTTTATGTATCTTTGTCAATTGCCATGGATGTTTTCATTCTGCCCTTGTTTGAGGGCCACGCATGTAATAGCTGTGAAACTAGAGCCACCTGTTGGTTCCTCTGTTACAACTGCTTTCAGTAAAAGGCTAGCCAGACATTGGACACTGGGGACACTGATATGCTTCACAATGAACTTGGGCTATGCTAGTGGGGGTAGCAATCTGAGTTACCAGTCCTCTGAAGATGACTGGAGGCTAATTTGTGCCCTGGACATATGATGTACCTAGTACTTTCTCCCTCCTTTGAGAGCATTTTGCTTTCCCTGCCAGGAGGTGGCACCCTTCTCTTTAGAATTCCAGCCAAAATAGTTTCCAGAAGTTGCTCTCATTATGTTCTGATATTGTTTTTACCATTATTTCACCATTTATTGATATTTGTCGGTTTCCAGACATTGTGCTAAATCTTTGGATATAGTAGTGAATATGACACAGCCTCTTGCCCTTGAAAAACCTACTCTGTGGTTGGGGGAGACAGACAGCTGCAGTGTAATGTGATCCAGGCCATGATACATTGAGATAGAGTTCTCTAAGTAGAAAGAGGGAGGAAGATGTTCTAGGTAGAGGAAATGGCAAGCAGGAAAGTAAAACATTGTGAAAGGAGATGAAATGTTCAGGAAATAATGAGAAATTCAGTGTGTGTGGAGTGTGCCTTGTGAGGGAGGGAGTGGTCAGAGAAAAATTTGGAGAGTTATGTTGGAATTGTGGACTTTGTCCTTAGTCCACAATAGTGGACTGTCACACTAAGTGTGACAGTCTGGCCTCAGATGAGTAATTTAGGCAAGTGACATAAAACCTTTGACTTTTGCCTTCAGGATCAGGGAGGGCCTGCTGATTAGGAGCTCTGATATGAAGGCAGGAATTTCCCTTTTTTCTACAAGAAAGAAAGCCTTATGCTTGGAAGTGAAGAGTCAGCAAGAGTTACGGGAAAACGGGAAATTTCCCTTCTTGTTGTGCACTGCTTCTCTCTTGACTTCCTTTTTCATTTCTGGACCTGACTTAGGAGCAGCGACATCTCACTCATGAAAATGTACAGCGCAAGCAGGCAAGGACAGGAGAAGAGCGAGAAGAGGAGGAGGAAGAGCAGATCAGTGAGAGTGAGAGTGAAGATGAAGAGAACGAGATCATCTACAACCCCAAAAACCTGCCCCTTGGCTGGGATGGCAAAGTCAGTCCCAGCATGACCATCTTTCTCCCCATTCCCCTGCTGGAAGCCGATGCAGACACTAGTCTAATGTTATCTGATTTCTTTTAGCCCATTCCCTACTGGTTGTATAAGCTTCATGGCCTGAATATCAACTACAACTGTGAGATTTGTGGAAACTACACCTACCGAGGTCCCAAGGCCTTCCAGCGGCACTTTGCTGTAAGGAGTTCAGAACCGTTTCTCCTGGAAATTGAAGTGTGAAACATGAGTCTTTTAGAGAAGAGGGTAGGAGGAGCCTGAAAGGACCCCTGGTGTCCAGAGCTTAAGAGAATCAGAGGAGTGGGTCTCAAGTCGAGCCTCTGGCATTTGGCCTCTGGCACTAGCCTTGAATCAACGCCTGAGAGGGTTTCTGAAGGCATTCTACCACTCTGCTGTTTGAGCCTCATTTCCATTTTCTCTTGTTCTTGTACTTCTCTTTTTGTCTTGGACCAATCTCTGGCTCCTTGGTCATTTCTCTACCCCATTGCTAGTACACAGGACCAAAGAAAGGGCTGCCCTCCTCCTTTGGGTCTTAAATGGGCCTTTGCCTCTTTGGGAAAAAGAAACTAAGGGGATAACATTTATCAAGCTATCCTTGAGTCTAGGCATTATCTGGGTGGTACTACAGTAAGTGGATTCACCCTTGTTTTATTTCTGCCTTCAGTTCCTAATACTTGGAAGGAAATTTTACGGAATGGGAAAGACTTGTTAGCCCAAGGGTGGAGAATTTATATGAAGAACTCTTGCCCTCTCTCAGACATATGTATTACTAACTGATACTGGCTCTTTTCTGCTGAGCCCCTAAGCAGTCTCTGAATCTTTCTCAACACTACCTCCAGTGAATTGGAGTTGGCATCCAGGATAAAGCCCATGCCATTTGCCATCCCTGAGCCAGAACTGTCATTGTGTCAGCATGTCTTCCTGCTTTCCTTCACATCCTTGCTTATACCTGATAAACAGTCTTCTCCTTTACTTACAGAGATCACCCTGACCTGCCATCAGTAATGCTTACTCACGCTGGGAGGTTGAGGGGGGGTTGCATGGGAGATGACTGGTTAGTTAGAATTGTGGTGTTTTGCTGTGGTCTTGACACAGAGGTTTTGTCTAGAAGACTACTGATCTAGAATCTAGGTTTTATAAACCAGCCCAGTGAGGCAAACAGTGCAATGCTGCTTGAAATAACTGCCTCTTGTCGGTCACAGCCAGCTGTTTACAAACATGAGCCACAAAAGTAGTGCTGCCTTTTGGTGGAGTCTTTCACAAAGGGCCAGGTTAGAGTTGATGAGGCGAGTAGAGTTAGTGCTCTGTGTCCAGTGCTTCCTGTTTCACGTTGTCCTTTTGTTTCTCTCCTCCCAGGAATGGCGCCATGCTCATGGCATGAGGTGTTTGGGCATCCCAAACACTGCGCACTTTGCTAATGTGACACAGATTGAAGATGCTGTCTCCTGTAAGTAAGCCTTATTTATTGTTCCCTCGGCCAGACCAAGTGGCCACTCCTGCAACTCACTGTCCCAGTACCCTGGTGGATGCAGGCCTAAGAGTAGCATTTGTGGATATGTAAAAGCTACTACAGTCATACAGTTTACTACATTTTTAGGGCGTGAGTTAGCAGTACTAATTGTTTCCCTCTTGAGAGGATCCCTATGCTGAGTCAAAACAAGGCTTTTAAATGAAGTCTGTGAACTCCCCCGTATGCAAGGTTTTGAGTGAGTGGGTGTACGTGTATTTTTCTGAATTGATTTTAATGTGTTGAGAACTGTAGATATGAAGGAAAAAATGGAAATGGTCTCAGTAAGCTTGTTTCTGAGGCAACAGGGCAGATACACAGAAACATGGCAGCAAAATACCTCTTGGGGAAAGAGCGAAGTGGGGTGCATGCCAGGGAGTAGTGTGCTGTTAAAGCACCCATGACCACAGTCAGGCCTCCTGTGTGCCTGGTGCTGGTCGCTTTTACTGCCGTGAGCATCTTCCTCACAGGCTTTCTGTTTCCTTTCTAGTTTCTCTCTTCTCTGTCCGGTTTTCACTTTCAGCTGGTTACACTGAGAGGAAAGGAATTTTGCTACTTGATTTTGTTAAATTTCAGGCACTCCCCCTCTCAGGTGTACATATCACACCACTCAGCTGCTTGATCAGCTGACTCTCGGCTCCCAACTCTAAAGAGCTCCCTGATCCTGACTTAGCCCGTGGATTCTGGGGACTCTTTCATTGAGTTGTTTGTGTGCCATCAGCTTTGGGGACTCCTTCTTGCTTTCTTGTCTGTTTTTATCCGTTTATGAGTCAGGATCATTCAGTTTTTCCAATCAGAATTATAATATGTGTCATAATCAGATTATCCAGTTAGCTTCTTTACCTTTTGTTTTTGCCCTTGACTTTTTTGGGAGGAAATTAGAATAGTAACGAAATTTCATAGAATCGCAGTGCTGTGTTTTGAATGCAGTCTCGTTTTTAGATGTATTTTCTAGCTGTGTACTACTTTTTTTTTTTTTTTTTTTAAGATTTTACTTATTTATTTTCTTTCTCCCCAAAGCCCCAGTAGATAGTTGTATGTCATAGCTGCACATCCTTCTGGTTGCTGTATGCGGGATGCGGCCTCAGTATGGCCGGAGAAGCGGTGCATCAGTGCGCGCCTGGGATCCAAACCTGGGCCGCCAGCGGCAGAGTGCGCACACTTAACCGCTAAGCCACGGGGCCGGCCCCCATAGCTGTGTACTACTAATAAATAGATCACAGTTCATTTTTTGTGTATTTTCTTATGTCCTGTGATTTGCCTGAGCTAATTTATTACTTCTGATACCTTGAAATTGATCTGTTTACATCATTTTAGGCTTACAATCATGCCAACTGCAAAAACAAAGGTGGTATTTTTATTAATTTTGTTCTGTGTTTTTATTTTTCTTCATGAATAGTTATCCTAAGCATCACCCCCAAGTCTTATGTTAAATAGAAGCAGGTGACAGATAGGTAATCCTTGCCTGGATGCTGTTTCTTTCTTTTTTTTTTTTTTGTGAGGAAGATCAGCCCTGAGCTAACATCCGTGCTCATCCTCCTCTTTTTGCTGAGGAGGACCAGCCCTGAGCTAACATCTATTGCCAATCCTCCTCCTTTTTTTTTCCCCCTCCAAAGCCCCAGCAGATAG